TTCAGGGTCACCTGTGTCACGGGTGCCAGTGCCTCCTCCCTCCTCGTGGCTGAGGGGTACCCAGGTATAGGCAGACCACACCTCTTCATCGGCCATCCATTGACACACCCTGAGTTGTCTGCACCTTTGGCCGCTGAGAATGATGCTGCTACACATTTCCTACAGACACACTTTCCTTTCTCTCGGGCATGGGCTGAGAACTGCTGGGCCACGTGGCGACCGTGCTTAGTCATTTGGGAAGCTACCAGGCTCTTCCAGAGCAGCCATGTGCTTCACAGTGCCACCAGCAGTGTGTAGGTGCGCCCAAGGACCGCTCAGACTCATGTTGTTTCCTGCAGACAGTCTGCACCACTCCTTCCTGCCAGTGTGACTCCACACCTATGTGGAAACATGACCCCACCAGGCACCAACTCCTCATCCTCTTCCTCACCCCGGCCTCCTACCAAGAGCTGAGATGCTGAGTGCTTCCAAGCAGCCGGCATTGCCACATGCACACCGCACTGCCTGCAACCCTCTCCCTGGACGCCCAGAGGGAGACCCAGCACGTGCTCCCTATCCCAGGTGCACTGACCTGCCTGGGGTCTGTTGTGGTACACCTGCATTCCCAGGGTGCCACGTGTTCCCCTGGTGGCTGTGTGGGGCGGGTGGCAGAACACAGGCTGGTGGACAGACAGCTCCCTCTAATCTCCGGTGAGTCAGTGCTGTTTGTGAGGGAGCTGCCTACTCGTCTCCCTGAGCTTCAGTTGACACATCTATAAAAAATCTTGGAACACAAATCCGTGTGTGCAGTCCCCAATAGGCTGTGAGTGCCAGGCACAGGCTCCCCACACGCCTTCCTTTCCAGGGAGACAGGACGGCAGGGGAGTGCGGAGCCCGGCCATGCAGGAAGGAAGAGGCTCTGGGACCCACGCTCGCTCAGATATTTTAATTAAAACGCTAATGATCATCCTTGCACACTGCTGTTGAGCCTGGTGATGTTTTTAGTGGTTGGAAACGTTGAATAGGTGGAAACTGGGGTGGGGGTGGGGGGGCTGGTAGATGGCTAGTGGGATTTATGCGTTAAGTTTTTTTTAACACTGATATGGCTTTCCTACCTTAGAGTATTAAAATGTTGCTGTGTTTGTTGTTCTGTGATTCTGTCCTAATCACACTGCCGGTCTCATTTATAGATCTATAAAACGTAGACCTCTGGTATCCAATGATGGAGACCGCAGGGGTCAGTCAATTCCTCCCATAAAAGGTCAGGCAGTTAACAGGTTCATTTTGGCAGCCTCGTGGGCTGGGCCACAATTATTCTACTTTGCTGCAGATGATAAAAAAACAGGCCTGGCCAGATTTTGTTGCTCTGTGAGCTGAAGGCTGTCAGGATGCCATGTCACCCAGGGCACGAGGGGAGTAGTCCCGAGGTAGAGAGGCCACCCTTCCTGTAGAGGGTGAGGGGAGGACAACAGGCTGTGGAGCTTCCACCCTGGCCATGAGTCAGAGTCATTGCTGACAAGTATCTTGAAGCCCAGCTTAGGAGCTAAAGGTCAGAGGGCATAGGTCAGAGGTTGGTAAGTGAGTCATCAGTTCATCAATTTATAGCCCCGAAGAGGGATAGAAATATCCAACACATTGTGGCGATATTGTAGCAGCCCTGAGTGCCCAGGCCTTGGCAGAGAGGAGAGGGCCCAGTAGGGTGCAAGGGGTGCCTTCTGCACAGACGAGGAGCTTGCAGAGCCATGTGCAAAGGGCACAGAGCCACCAGTGGGTCCCCAGACTCCTCAGGGACCAAGTCACAGGAAAGGGCGCTTGGGACAGAGAAGCTCCTGGCAGATGTTGTGGGGTGCTGCAGGCCTTGCTGGGCAGCGTCTGGAGCTTGCTTTTCCTTAGGTCCTGCAAGTTCTTAATGGAAGCCTCCCTCGATGTCCTTGCAGCCTGAGTGACTTTCTTGGAGTATGTGGGGAGGTCTGAGCTGAAAAGCCTTCCCTGTGCTCTTCATATGGTTAGTTCACAAGTGTCCACTGGACTCCTGCGAGCGCTGGGTGCTGTTCCCCCTGTTGGAGCTCCTGATGGGGTACGCCATTCGTGGCAAGGCTCATAACATGCAAATTCATATAGAACAAGGTCCCCCCAGATCTTGAGGACTAGGTCCTGGGAAACCAGGGTGGAGCTGCAGTGGAGGAGCTACCCACTGCTGTGGAACAAATGGCCCAACACTGAGAAGTCCTAGCAGTCCCACTTCTCGTGGGGCTAGGAGTCAGGTGGCCTGGCTGGGCGACCCTGGCTGAGGTCATCCATGTGCTTGTAGGCAGACTTTTGCTGTACCTAGAGTCAAAGCTCAAGACTCGGCTGGGGCCAGCGGATCTGCTTCCCCTCCCCTCACATGGCTACTGCAGACCCCAGGCCCCCGCTGCCTGTCGCTCACACACTTCAGTTCCTCAGCTGGTGGACCTCGCCCTTGGGCAGCTCACAGGGCGGCAGCTGGCTTTCCCAAGAGAGTGCAGCAAGGGAGAGAGAGCCAAGAAGAAGACTGTACTTCACAGCCCAACGTGGGAGCCAATGTCTCACTTCCACCCTGTGCTGTTGCTCACGCAGACCACCCCAGTCACTTGGGCTGGAGGCGCTCCGCCAAGGTGCGAGAGCTGGGGGTGGGGACTCATTGGGCTGCCCTCTTGATCGGCCCATCCTCAGGCAGTGACCCAGATTTAAGGACAGACTGAGATGGGGCATGTGTGGCTGGGGAATCTCCAAGGCCAAAGACAAAGGGCACTGCAGTGTCTTTCTGCTCTCCAGCGGAGACCTTGTTCAACCACCTAAATCAATAGCAAAAACACAACGACAGCCATGTGTCACGTGGAATTTGAGGACAGACCTGTGTGTGCACGGACTGTTCACACAGAGGGGGAGAAAACAGAAATCAGAGGCAGGGCAAGGAGGCTGTCAGAAAACTAAGACACGACACAGAAGAGCAGCAGGTGCCCAGCTCCACAGGCAGGCAGCTTCGCCCAAGACAGAACCCAAGAAAGTCCTCTTCGGCAAAGTTCACCGAGTCCGTGAAAGCAGACCCTCTGTGTCAGACAAGCCCACGAGCTTTTTGATAATGAATGTCTCAACAATCACCCTCCGCAAAACCCACAGACGGCTCCTGGGGAGCTGATCAGAAAAGAGAGACTTAAAGCAGGGGTGAGCTGCGCCTGCAGCCTCTCCCAGTCACCTCCCGCCAAACCAAACAAGCCTTCCTCACGCCTGTTCCCCTCACTTCCTGTGCTCTCCATTGGAGATGAAATGGGGAGATAGACACTTACTAGGGAGAAATGGGAAATTGCTTCTTTGAGGGCCACACACGCTGTTTCTCTGTTCAGTGGAAAGTTTCCAGAGCCCGCCTGCTTTCCTGAGGGCTGCCCACTACATACTTACAAGACTGCAGGTAACGGTAAGATGAAGACTCCTGGAGAAGCCACCTCTGCGACCATGGAGGGTTCGCGATGTCTTGCGTATCAGAATGTCTTGCAGGGACAGAATTACCAATCTGTGCCTATAAGTGGGTGCTTGACCTAGCAGGAGGTGGAGTGGGGAAGATCATCCCGTGCTGTGATCTTAAGGTCAAAGCTGGTGCCGTCCTTAGACAAAGTCCCTGTTCCCCCAGCATGAAGTTCCAAGTTCTGAAAAGTTGCACATCTTAGAAATCCCTCCTCTGGATACTCTGGGTTCAACTCAAAGCAACATTTCCTTGTCAGTTTTAACCAATGTAGCCCTTTTCAGGTGAGGCAGTAGCCACATTAATTCGTTGTCCTTGGAAGTGGGACAGGAAAACATGGGAGGTAAGTGGGCATTGAGGTAAGCACGGGCGCATCTGGGCAAAAGCAGGTGCAGTGAAGAACGAAGGCGCCCTGGGAATCCACAGGTGAGGTGAGGGGCTCCAGCCGCAGGTGTAGACAGGGCATTTTGTAAAGGAGGCGCAGGCTGCATGGTGTATTACAAATCCCATCTGGAGCAGGCACTGTCTGCAGGTGTGAGGTGCTGCACGTGTGCTGTCATAGAAAGTGAAGTGTCCCAGTGTGGGTGCACCTTTCTATCACCTGCAGAGACTTTTAAAAATTGTGTGAGTTTCTCTAAAGACCATGACAGTTCATTCAGGAAAAGGTCAAGTTTACGTGCACTTTTAACATAAGACTCAGACGTTTGGAGCCTGTGAGTCAATGATCATCTTTGGAAAAATATGATTGAGAAAAATTAAGGTGAACGAGGCTGCTGGCGAGCGAGGACTCCACACGTGAAAAATAAAGAGAAAGTGAGGGTCTATTCAGAAAAAATCACTAAATCTGGAGGAATCTCAGCATTTTCAATCAGACCCACGAGGTTGCCCAGGATCTGAGGAGTCTCTGGTCACGCTGCGTCCAGCCGCCATCCTCACCATCCTTGCGATTGCCGTCATGGACACTGGGTTTGGATGCACGTGCAAGGAGCTAAGCGCTCTCGGCCTCCGCGGCTCGGCTCTGTGCCTGCACAGCCTCAGGGCTCTAGGCGCCAGGAAACCGCTCCATGTGAAACAGCAGCCACTGTTGGACATTTGCTCTGGGTGATGACATCTGCTCTGGTCATCAGTGATGACGTTCAGTGGTGCGATAGAGGAAGATCCTAAAGAGAATCCGAGGAAGGATCCTGTCACCGATAGGGAGAATTCATCTCCAGCCGTTTTCGGTGGATACATTCCAGGAGAATGAAGACCACCCCGTGGCCAGCTGAGCCAGGGTGCTCCCAGATCTGCACAATTTTCAGAAAATATAAATAATGTCTGGACAAGGCCACTCCCAGAGCAAGACCGGTGGGGTTTAGGTGGGAGGAGACCCCGAAAGCTCATGTGTGAGCCAATGCAAGGAAGTTCAGAGGGGAACCGACAGATTACGAGGGTCTTAACCTAATCAGTGCATGAATCCCTGATGGGAGTTCACTGGGTGGAAACTGCAGGCAGGTGGAGTGTGGCTGAAGAGGTGGGTCACTGGGTACACGCCTTTTGTCTCTGGTGAGCAAGCTCCCTGCCCCCCCTCTCACTTCCCGGTGTCACCTTCTGAGCAGCTTGTCCCCTCTCCTCCAGGTCCTTTTACCACGCTCTTCTGCCTACCTTAGGTCCAGAATCATGGAGTCAGCTGACCACGGACTGAACCTCTGAAACCATAAGCCAAAATGAACGTTTCCTCCTGTAAGTTCTTGTCAGGTCTTTGGCCACAGTGAAGAAAAAGCTGACTGCACCCAAGAACCCTTCCCTCCATAAGCCACCGTACACTCCCTCCCACCTGGGGAACCGTGCCCGCCACGGAGAACTCCTGCTCCCTCCTCCCAGCTGGAGCTGGAGATGCCGTTCACCAGCTGCGCCCACTCTCCAGTGCCCAGTCCAGACTCCACTCCACTTCCCTGCACCCTCCTCAGAAATCACCGGAACAAGCCCAAGTCCTAGGAAGTCTCCGCCCACTCCCTGGGGCGGGTATGTCAGCAAGCGAGCGCAGTGGCCCAGCATTTCCGGACACAGCTGTGCTCCCGTGACACTGGACCAGGGGCTTCAGCAACACAAGGGGGATGAGGTTTGCCCAGGCTCCTTGCTGCCGTAGACCTCTGCTCAGTCACTGCAGCATATCGGAGGCCCCCGGAGTTTCTGCGGGTTCAAAGCTCTGTTGCTCACCATGGTAAGGAAATATCACACTAAGCTCCAGACACTGCACTGAGCTCACTGTTGGATTTACTTTGGTTCCTAGGATTTTTGAATGCTAATCAAATTATCTTGTGCCTTGGTACGATGTGGCTTCTAACCTAACACATGGCTCCTGTGATCTGTTCTTCCAGTGACTGGTGTGATGTTTGTCTGTGACGGAGAGCCTGTGGGGAAGATGTTAATAGTTCTGTCCCTTGAGCTAGACCTGAAGTTCGGGAGTTCAGAAGTCTTGTCAGACCAAGATCCTGTGACTATGGTTGGTCTTGATTTATCCTTTGAACACTTTGTAAGGGCTGCTCTCTGTCTTGTCTCTGCACTGCGATCTGCTTTGTTCAGCTTTGTCTCCCTGAAGCTGAGGTTTTGAAGAGTCCCCTGGGGGTACTGTTCTCTGCACAGATCCTCCAGACTCACAGTGGCAGGTGCACGGTCTGTACTGAGTGGAGCCTTTGGGGGTCCTGTTTTCTGGGTTGGCACCCACTTCCAGACCAGGTGCTGGCTTTTCATGAGTGTGTCTCACATCATTAACACACACACACACACACATCTCTCTGAATGGCTTAATTTCACAACATCCCAGTTAGCAGTATGGGGCCACCATGAAGGAGACTGAGAGAAGACTTATGACAAGGTAACACCTCAAGTCTCTGAGCTAGAACCCTTCCTTGGTCTGAAGGATCTTCCAAATGATGTTTCGACTCCTGAATTTTCTGTAAAATAATTCCTCAGGTGAGGACGGTGAGAAGAGCTGCAGCCACCTCAGCCTCCTCTGTGTGCCCTGCTTCCTCCTCCACACCTCCTCGGACCTTGCACACCTCCCATGTCCAGAATTATGATCTCGGTGGGAAACAGATGCCCACACCACCTGGTGTATGGACCAAAATGGGTCTAAATGCATTTTTCCACTCCTGGGCCTCTGTGAAGGACCTCTAGGTCCAAGGATCCCATGGAGAGGAAAACCAGAGAACTCAGACTTGTGGGCATGTCACTCTCTCAGAGTTCTGTCAGTCAGAGCACATGGTGATGAGCCCAGGAAATGCAGACCCTCGGCTTAGAATGGCTACGGGAACGACGCTGAAAAGATTCTAAAGCAAGGAAAGCGCAGAGCTGTCACACTGGCAAAGGCAGGTGAGTCTGATGGGAGGGTAATGACTCCATCCCAAGGGGCAGGGAGGACAAGTGCTGAGGTCCAGGATCACTGAGGGGCCTCGTGGGGCCCTGAGACCTGTGATGACAAGCAATCACAGCAATCACAGCTGAGAAAGGCAGTCAGGAAGTAGACCCCGCAAAGGAAGAAACGGGTCCAAATGCAAGCCAGTCCCTCACAGATGGTGGAGAGGGGGATGGCAACCATCAGTCATGTCCTGATGGCCACAGCAGCAGAGACTGTGGCTTGGCCCCCCTTTTACGTCTTTCTTAAAAACCATGGCAACATATAGCAGCATAAAACGCCCCAGTTGAAGCTTTCCAAGCATGCAGCTCAGTGGTGCACCGTCTCTTGGCATCTTCATCCTGGGGGACAGCTCACACCACAGAGCAGCAGCCCCCCAGGGCCCTTTCCTCCGGCCCCCGCAACAAGTATTCTACCCCCCGTCTCCACAGGGCTCACAGAAGTGGACGCCACGCTCTTTGTCCATTTGTGTTTGGCTTGTTTGACCTAGCACACTCCCACCGACTCCGGGTAGCACACTCCAACCCCTCCCCATGCAGCACAATCCCACCTCCCCTCCGTGTGGTAGCACAATCCCACCCCCCTCTGCACTGTAGCACACTCCCACCCCCCATCACATAGCACAATCTCACCTGCCTCCATGCTGTAGCACAATGCCACCCCCCTCCACGTAGCACAGTCCTACCCCCCTTCCATGTTGTAGCACAATCCCACCCCACTCTGCGCTGTAGCATAATCCCACCCCCCATCACACAGCACAATCTCACCTGCCTCCATGCTGTAGCACAATGCCCCCCTCCGCCCCGCTCCATGTAGCACAATACCACCCCCTTCCATGTTGTAGCACAATCCCACCCCACTCTGCACTGTAGCACAATCCCCCTGCCCCCGCCGTACTCCCACCCCACCTCCGTGGGCAGAATGGCCTTCACTTGGGATGCTCAGGAATATTCCATGGCATGATGGCCCACATTACTCATGTCCATCCATGTGCCAGTGGACACTTGGGTGCTTCACCTCTCGGCTCCTATAAAGCACACTGCTTTCAACATGAGTACACCAACTAAGGGGGTCTGCCTTCCATTTCTCTAGTACCTGCCCAGATGTGGAACTCTGGATCACATTATGCCTTAATCATATATATATGGACACTATACCTTGATTTATTTGTTTGTTTGTTTGTTTTTATGTAGTGCTGAGGTTGGAACCCAGGGCCTCACATGTGCTAGGCAAATGCCTACCACTGAGCTACAACTACAGCCCCGACTTTATGCCTTTTAATGGTCAGGGGCCAGCTCCACCTTAAGGTAAGTCAGAATGGACACAGTGTGATCCTGTGCGGAGCTAAGTAGTGCTGGGTGGGAAGCCACAGCTCAGGTGCCCCAGGTCATTCTGTCATGGCTCTGGCTTTCTGGTGTGGCTAGTGAACAGTTCTACAGGGGGTGTGGGGCCCACCTCAAGAGTCAGCCTCACCTCTTGGCCTCAGGTGTGCCTGTGTGTGTGTGTGTGCGCGCGCATATGTGCACGTGTATGTAGGTGTGTTTCCTTTTGCATTTTACTGTTGTTGTTCATTTGCTTGCTTGATTTTTGGAAAGCTAATCTGACTTTCTCAGTTTGAAGGTAAGCTGGAGATGTCGGAGAGGAAGTTTCTGGGAAATCTTCAACCAATATAGGGTAAGAGTGAATGAGTAAGCCCCGGAGCGCTCCCTCCTCTGAGGCATGTCCTCTGACCCCTGAGGGTCTCTATGTGACCAGGTCAGCTCCCTGCAGCAGCAGAAGTCCAGCAACACAACCAATTACTAATTCTTTTCCCCCCTCTTTCATTTTGCTCATTCAAATAAACCCCCTGAACCTAAGCTCTAATCTCAAACTCTGATCTAGGGTGAACTCAAAAAAAAAATGATAAAAAAAATCCTTAGCTGGTCATATGGTTGAGACTAGTTACCAACATTATATTCAGAAAGGACATTTGATTTGCAGTGGTGGATTTATACACCTTCCAGAATCCAGGACCTCTATGTTTTGGAATAAAATTCTCCCAGGTCATTAAAAGGAGAAAAAATGTTTTTCCTATCCAAGTGAGAAAGGTTACATTTAGAAATATGCAAAGAAATCAAACAAATGAAAGACATTCAGTTGTACTTACTACCAAACCCAAACAGAGGTTTAAGATGGTGGTGTGGGCGCTGTTCATTATGACTAAGTTTCACTGCTGTTTCTGAATTTATGATGTAGACACAACCTTGAGATTTGCCTAAACCATAAATTTATGAAATGCACAGCAGCACTGGGGTATCTCTGTGTCAGGCTGTAATTGCTCTCAAGTTGATATTTCGTGTCTAATTAGCTCCGTCCTTTCGAGTTTGTGGAAACTCTGAGAAGGCACACATTGGCAAACTTATTTATTATGTGCATCTACATTTTTAAATGAAAAGGTCATATAGTTAAAATGGTTGATCTTAATAAGCTCTGCCTAATTTCATATTTTATCATCTTTTGAATCATCCCAGGAGTGAATACCAAGGAAGCTCTTAATGTTTATGAGTGTGATGATTTATGTTTTAAATGGTAATGGTTGTCTTAGTTTTAGATGACTTATTTGCAATGTTCATAATTTGGGATTTTTTTTTTGAGAATACTGGGAATTTTAATTAACCCTGTTACATTTATCCTGTTCATTTGTTTTATAATAAATTACTGTAGCAAAATGAAAGTTGGTACTTTTTTTCTTAGAGTCCCATGTGTTATGAAGGGAATTATGCTCCTATGCAAATAGATACAGCTAAACACTCAGCCTCCGTGTGACAATTTTGACATGAAGTCGTTAGAAGGTAATCAAAGCTAAATAAGGCCATAGGTCTGGGGCTCGAACCCAGCTGGGCTGAGACTGACATAAGAAGAAGAAGAAACACTTCCCTCCTAGACTTTCCCTGGCCCTCTCGCGCTGCGCGGTCTCTCCGACGCAAGACTGTCCCTGCCCGGATATGGCTCGAGGACAGCAGAAGATTCAGTCTCAGCAAAAAAATGCCAAAAAGCAGGCTGGACAAAAGAGGAAACAAGGACATGACCAAAAGGCTGCTGCCAAAGCTGACTTAATATATACCTGCACTGTCTGTAGGACACAAATGCCAGACCCTAAGACCTTCAAGCAGCACTTTGAAAGCAAGCATCCTAAGACTCCACTTCCTCCAGAATTAGCTGATGTTCAGGCATAAAGTTGTTTACAGGTGAATTCATGACACCTTTGACTCTTCTACTGTCTCAGACCTTAGGTAACAAACCTGCAGCTGCTTTTCTAACAAACTGTTGATCAGCAAAAATCAAGGGGCTACAGAAACACTCATTTTTATGCTGTTCCCTTTTGGGCTTCATGCAAAGACAATTCTGTGTAAATGTATAGTTGACTCTGATTTGGAAATCTGAAAATCAGTCCATCCTTGTTATAAAAATTTTTTTACAATTGTAATTATATTGATGTTCATATTGTGTAAAATAACTCATTTAATAAAGTAGTACTTTGATTTTACAACAAAAAAAAAAAAAAGAAGAAGAAGAATCACCGGGTTCTCCCTCCCAACAGGCCAGCCATGAACAAAGGGAAGGTAGCCACCGGTAAGCCAGGAGAAACCTTTCAGGAATCCAGCCTTGCTGGCACCCTGACCTTGAACTTCCAGACTCCAGAACTGCAAGAAAATGCTTTCTACATGTAAGCCACTCCATCCTCAGTATTTTGTCAAGGCAGCTGGAGCTGGCTGATACACTCTCCCACCTGGAATGGATACTTGGATTTAACACCGTCACCCCAGGAACGCAGACAGCTGGCTATTTGTGTTGCCTGGATTTGGATCTACTCAGTACGTGTCTCTGGCAAGTGTGCAGCAATGGGAGCTCCACAGCCCTCTCTTTTGGAGGCCTTGCCCCTCACCATGAGTGAGTGGGTAATTCCAGGGCTCCTGCACAGAAGCCACAGTGGTGCACCCACTCACAGCAAAAGGACCTACTGATTCTACTGATTCTCTGGGGGGATTTTCCTTGCAGCTCCTCCCTCCCTTTTTTTTTTTTTTGGAAACAGGGGTTAAACCCAGGGCACTTTACCACCAAGGTACAGCCTATTTATTTTTTATTCTGAAACAGTGTCTCAGTAAGTTGCTTAGGGCCTTGCTAAGTGGCTGAGGATGGCTTTGAACTTTCGATCCTCCTGCCTCAGCCTTCCAAGTTATTGAGATTGCAGGCATGTGCCACCATGCCAAATGCAGCCCACATTTTTGAATACTTTTAACTACATTAGGATTTCTGTCAACCAATCTAATATGTGTGAACATCAAGCCAATCCAGAAAATCCAGGGATGCTGTCGGGGGCTTCCTCTCTCATTCCCCCTGCCCCCTAAGACATCAATCTAAAGCCACCTCCCTCCTTGGGCAAGCCATTGGCATCTGCACTGAAACTCCACAGAACAGTCTTGACAAGGAATTAGGTGTGATGTATTCTCTCTCGGAGCCTCACTCCATGCAATACCACAGCTGGGGCTGCATCCCCACTCTGCCCTGCTCAGGCCTCCTCCTCAGGGAAACCGTGGCCCTGGGCTTGCCAGCTCCCTAGAGACCTTAAAAAGTGGAAGGACAGCCCAGAGGGTGGCCCTGCATGGACAGCTTTGGTGGCCAGGAGAAGCAAAGTGCACCTATTTGCATCTCTTTGGTGACCATCCTGCTTCACATTGTGGTCATTGTGTGCATCCAAATGCTAAAATAGGAAGATGACCAAAGTGTCACTCTGTGCACAGGTATAGATTTAAAAAAAAAATGATTCATTAGAGATATTCTATAGAATTAAAAGGAATAAAAAAATTTAAAAAAACTGACATCTGCATTTGCTGTATCACCTATTCTTTGTCCACATGCACATTCTGTCTTTATAGTCACAGTATTTTAAACACAGGTGATAATCTACACTTTTCATTAAAACCATGTTCTGTATCCTTACCTCTGACATTTTCCTCTTCACTCCCCAACCTCAGTGACCAGTGCCAGGGGCAGGTCCAGTGTTGCCCTCTCCAGGGACCAATGTCAGGGGCAGGTCTGGTGTCCTCCATCCCAGTGATCAACGGCAGAGGCAGGTCCTGTGTCCCCCACATGCCTCCTCACATTTTCATTTTCCATTTCACACACAGTCTCTTTCCTTCTTGCTTCTCTCACATAGCAAATGAGCAATTTGTAAAAACCCTTGCTGGTCAACAAAAAGCTTCTGAAGGGCCACAGATATCTCTGGCATTTGTTCATGTTTTATATCCTACATTTCTATTCTGAGACTTTCTATCTTTCCGTTTGTTTTAACACTGTCTGCCATCACCTCTTGGAGTTTCTTATGATAGTTGTCTTAAAGGCTTTCACAGGTATCTCCAATATCTCTGCCACTGTGGTGTTGACACCTGCTGAATGCTCTTTCCCAGATGAATTGAGATTTTCCTGGTTCTTATTCTGAGTAATTTTAGGTTATTTCTTGTACACTTGGCTATTTTGTTAGGAGACTTTGGGTCTTGTTTAAATCCTATGGAGGATGTAGCTATTTCCTGTTTTAGGAGGTGGTCTTGTCTGGACTGTAAATGACACCCCACTTTCTGTTGGCTGTGCTTCATAGACGAATCCAAAACATTTACAGCCTGATAACAATCTGCAGTTGTGTTTGTAGCACCCTGTCTGAAACCTGAGCGGCGTCTTTGCCTTGTTGGTTTGTTCTCAAGTCCTCCGGTCTGCCGATGTAGAAAAGCACTAAGCTGTGCACCTTGACGTGAGCCCAGGAAGTAGTAAACAACACCATGGGGCTGTTTTCTAGGCTCTCCTCTGTCCCCACAATGTCCCCAGTACTTTCTGGCTCTCTGGGATCCCCTTTCTGATCTTCAACCCATCGTGCTGGGATTTTATACCCTACTCTGTATTTGCTTCCCTCATTATTCTGACAGTGAGGGCCAAGTGACGGGAGGGCCTTAGAAAAGGAAGCCGCGATGTTCAGATGTTCAGCTCATCTTCCTGAAACCAAGCTGCCTGGGTCAGAGAAGTTCTCTCCCTTGCAGACGCAGGAACCCATGCGTCTCGCTCCCTCCTCCTCCAGAAACACCTTACGTGCTCCTTGAAACTGAACTCGTGGGTTTCACCTGGGACTTTGTCTGTTGAGAGCCACAGCCAAAGGGGCCCCAGCAAACTTCCAGCTGCCAGCAAACTTCCAGCTGCCGGCTGATGATCCAGCTGCCAGCAAACTTCCAGCTGCCGGCTGATGATTGGCTCACAGCGGCCCCAGCAACATCTAGCTGATTGGCTCCTCTGCGGTGATGTTCATTGGGCTGTTTCCCTGCCCTTCAGACTGCCAGCTGATGATTGGCTCACAGCGGCCCCAGCAACATCTAGCTGATTGGCTCTTCCACGGAGCTGCTCATTGGGGGACTTCTTTGGCTCTGCCCATGCAACCCAGCCAATCGGCCTCAAGAGCAGGAG